GCATAGATAAGATCCCTGAAGTTGCAAAGACTAAAGTCTCAAAACCAAAAAGTTGTTCTTTATCAAAGTTAAGACTGCCACGCCCCCCTAAAACGACTTGTTCTACACACGCCCCCACATGTCTACCTCACTATGTGGAAATATTTGCATAATGTGCCCAAATGTGCACACAAAGAAAGAAGGCATGGTTTCAGTAACCGCAGTTAGTGTTGAAGCAGCATGTCAGGGAGACGCTGTGTGTTTCAGTGCAAAAGCAAAAGCACTTTATTTGGCCTTCCGAATGTAGATGCATTTAGGAATCTTTAAGATTGCTTACAACAGAACATCAATGTATTTTATGGACGACCGTTTCATGAACCTAGGAGAGGAGGTAATTCTGACTTTGCTATGACAATCTGGCGCTTCTGAATCAGCTACTGTTTTGTTATTAGTTCAAGTATTTGGTATTGACTGTTCAAATGCGGAGTTTTGCATATCGTGTGTGTGTGTGCGCGCGAGAGAGAGAGAGAGAGAGAGAGAGAGAGAGAGAGCGAGAGAGAGAGAGAGAGCGCGAGAGAGAAAGAGAGAGAGAGATCACAGTGGAGTCAGCTGTGTTAACCGTGGCTTGTGTACTGCACACATACCAGCTTCATCACTGTGTCTGTCACGCGACTCTGTTCCCCTTTCGGGCTCTGTCTTTACGTTTATTTTGAAAGATGAAGCTCGCGATTATGGTAAGGGACGTTACATTTCCAACGAGTGCTTGCGGTGTTCGGCCAATCACAATGCACTGGGTCAGCTGGCCAATCAGAGCAGACTGCGCTTGTCGGAAGGAGGGACTTTGTAGAAAACGAAGCGTTTGAGAGAGGCGGGGGATAGAGGACCTACAATAATGTACAGTATTTGAAAAATAATGTGTTTTTTGAACATTAAAGCATGTCAACATATTCTGTTACACCAAATACACAAAATAATGATCTTTAAAAAAGCATCATATGACCCCTTTAACTGTTCATTTTGATTAATGTAATGTATCCTTGCTAAATAAAAATATTCATTTCTATAAAATATGTAAAAAAAAAATTAATTCTTCCTGACCCCAAACTTTTGAATATCATTGTATGTATAAAACTTTGTGAATAAATGTTCCAATTTTGTGGAAACCCGTGGCACTTTTTCTGGAGTTCTGTGGGTGCAGATTTTGTGTGGGTTTGGTGACGTACTAAGGAAAGTGATTGCTATGAACACCCAGTCAGAACTGAAGTGGCTTTACCTTTGAAGGTTTGTTGAAGAGACACGCACCACCTCCACTGTTCAGGAAATCATGATACTCTTCCACGTTACAGTCAGAAAATCTCTTGGGTAAGTAGAAGCTGTTAGAGAGAACCACAAAGCACTAGAGTCATACTGCCTAACTTTACTTTCACGCTCTATGTTTAACACAACCGATAAAAAAGGCTATAAAAAAGAGTGTTTGTAATGCTAACCAAAGTCTCACTGAGCTTAAACTGAAAAGCAACAAACCTTACCTCAGTCACCACGTTTACATGCACATTGTTTTCTGATTAAGGTATTTTAGCCATCATTTTGAAAACAATTCCTGAATGCTGCACATGTAATTATATTACAAATAAACTAAGATATGCAGATTCTTTCCCCACTAATTCTATATGGAAATACTGGAGCCGCTTACCAATAGAGGATAATTATTTTTCTTTGGCCATATGTATATGTAAATGAACAAGTGGATGTTCCAATTACAAATAAAAAAGCATTTATCGTTATTACAGGGAAATGCCAGCTGCCCTGTTCAGATTGACACATACTCTAAATAATCAGAATACAACCAAATTCCAAAATCAAAATGTTCATGTAAACCTGGTCACTGTTGTGGAAAAGTTCTCATGGAGACAAATTAATGCTAAAAATGACAGGCTTGGGACAGAAAACAAGATTAATGTGAACTGGTCACACTGAATGTAAACATCAGTCTGGTTAAATGCAAGTAGATATAACTGCAGACCGGAGCTCTCCAAAATGGGGCGTGAACTCCAAAAGTGGGCAGAACCTCCAAAATGGGGCGGGCTCTCTTCGCGCAAAGACTTTCACCATTGGCTCTGGCTTCGGCCAATTGTTTTTGACTTACATTTCAAAATAAACCTTTATAAATTAAACATTGTTTCTAGTTGATCTAAAATAAAATGCTATATAAATAAATATTCTCCGTGAGAGCAGAGCCCAAAGCTCGTGTTCGGACTGGAGTTTGAACCTCTGCTTCATGATGTAATCGCGAATCACCCACGAGCTCTCCCGCGAGCCGTCCCAGCGCAGGGGAAAGATTTTACTCTATCGCTTTGTTCTAAGCAACGGGGTCTCCCGGGGCTCAGAATTCGCAGGGTGGGAGGGGGTAGTGATGCTGGGTGTAACTAAAAAGGTGCCATTGTCTGGTGAGGTCCGGTTGTTGAGTTACGGATCGATCTCATATCGCATAATCTTATTAACTGTTTATCCCTAAACTGCAACTTTCATTTTTGTAGAATAGTGTAGGAAATCAACACTTTAATTGACAACCAATAAAAACTTTAGAATTAGCTGTGGGGTGGAGTTTGCACTGAAGTGGATTGGGGGGGAAAATTGTGCATGCGTGTCATGTGCCTGTCTGTCAATGGGAGGAAGCCACGCCCTATTTTGGAGCTCCCACCCCGTTTTGGAGTTTCCGCCCCCATTTTGAGATCTCCAGGCTGCAGTTATACCCTTCTCGTTAAATGGGGAAATGGTTACGTCGTTACTGACTCTTTTCATTCAGACCAGCAGAGGGCAGGACTCAGACACAAAGAACAATAAAACACATTGTACAAACAAACACAAGGGCTACAGCAGCCAGATTTGTTGAAAATAGGTTGTAAGAATCAGTCAATTCCCTGTATTTACAGGCAGAACTTTACCTCTTCAATAAGGTGGACATGCAGTGTATTGCATTATATATAAATAACAGTTGCTAAATGCATTCACATCTACATTTACTGGTTGCTTATTAGCATGCATATTACTAAAAGACTAGCTGTTTATTAGTACTTATATAACACATATGAATGCCTTATTTTGCATGACCATATTTTAGTCATGCATTTTTTCTTATGAACACCCTGCAGTTCACGAAACCTAGAATGGGAAACCCTGGTCTGAAATACCACTCTTTCTTTTTAGGTGAATCCTCTCTGATTCTGATTACACTTTCCTCATTCTTCCATCTGCATCCAATAGATGCAAATCACAGTTTATCCACTTGTAAACACAGAGGTGTTGCAGTACGCTCAAACTGTACGAGAACGCTGAACACTGCTCAGCCTGTATCAGCTGGGTCGCTGCCCTCAATATCATTCCGAGGCTTTAAGCACTATTCCAATCTGTGACAATCTGCAACAAAGCAGTTTCAGGAAGCCTTAACCGGAGACTGAGAATCAATATGTGCATATCTCAGAGTATGCCATGTGTAAGTGGTTACTCTTCGTTTAACAGACGCTGAGTGTGATCCTGGAATATCACGGCACCTTGTCTTACCTGCTTGAGTAATTAATTTTAAAGTGTTGCAGACATTTTCACAGGATTGTTAACAACTGGTAGACATACTTAAAGGGGGAAAACAGAGAACACAAAACATCCTGTCACATTAACAATGGAGTTAGTGTATCAGATCGAACATGCAGGCTGCATGGAAAATAAACTTCTCAAAACATCCATCAATGGAGAGACAGATCCACATGAGCGTGTCTGTCTGAAAGGCCATTGATACTAGTGTTAATAACATGAGCCGTGAGAGTGTGCAGTAGCTTTCAGGAAATTATGGATATATATATAAAAAACAACCCAACTACATCATATGTGCATGTTGAAACCAGAGGACTTTCTCATACTCAGAAGTTTGGACTTTTTGCCCCAATAGTCCCATATTCTCCTGATAGAGAGAAAGTGCGTAGCTCTGTGTGGTGATTACAACACTTTTTCTCTTAGTCTTTCATCTTCTACACATGGTATTTCAGTTTGGAGGTCCAAAGGAGGAGTTGAGGAAACCTTTGCATTGTAAAAACTGTTAATGACTAATATAAGTGTTCAGAAACATGACTTGTGAAGAGAAGAAGTCTTATTTGAGAAGCTAAGCAAACAGCAAGACGGAGGGTGAACACACACTGAGAGTGCTGGTGTGAATTTCAGCTAACGTCCTGTCAGTAAGCCATTATACATCAGATGGCAGATGGCAGTCACTTTTGTCACCATAATTCTGATTATCTAATTGTATTATAAAAGACTTTTGCATTTAGAGGTAGACTGTGTGTGTGCCACACATGCTTTATGACATTTGGCATTAGCATGAAATCATGATTGTTCTGTTCTTTTGAGTATGAATGACTGCAGACAGTTTTAAACACTTTAAAGGGGACATATAACAGAAAATTAGATTTTCCTTTATCTTGTGAAATAAAAGAGTAATACTATTTTTTTTAACTCCAAAAAAAACTATGCTGCAAAAAAATCTTTATACTTTATACTTGGTGTTCAGCTACTTGATTTTGTTGAGATTTTTTTATTTTTTATTTAATTACGGTAAAGTTCAAACTATATACAAACCCAATTCCAAAAAAGTTGGGACACTGTACAAATTGTGAGTAAAAAAGGAATGGAATAATTTACAAATCTCATCTGACAGCAAACCCCAAAAAAAGCCTATTTAATTCTAGGAGGTGGAAAATACTGAAAGATCTTAGCTAATATTATCAGACTGAAATGCATGATATGACCCCTTTAAACTGAGAGGAGCCCAATAATCCTCTCTTAACGAAACATGTCCCACTATGAGCTATCAGCCAAATTAAAAACCAGTAAAAAAGAGAGCACATAGGAAACTGCAGAATATTCCAACACAATGCAACTTCTGCCATATTGCTCTCTTGACTGAATAAAATTGAGGCCATAATGCTATTAGATGGAGTGAGGGGCTGAAAAGACTCAGCAGCTGACTGGTCGACAGGACACGAGCGAGTAGCATGACACAACCAAGCGTCTGCTCACCTGCTGTCCCATTCGGGATTGAGGGGAAATGCAAAAGGTATTAAAACACATGGATAAAGACAAACCAACACACACAGATGCACACTATGACATGAACAAAATCGCTTCACAGGTATCTGATCACCTCACATCAAAGCATTTCTCGAATAACCACTGTGAACATTTCTGACTGTTTTAAGCATATATACTAATTATTAGCTGTGGTTTGTTATTCTGGTAATACAATTTTTCAGTTTGACACTGAAAAACACTGTCTGTGAATGTTAGATTGCTAAAAAAAAAAAAGATCCAGGGCAAATTTGAAACGTGAACAGTGAAATTTCAAAATCCACATGTGAAATGTCAACAGTGGAGAGCCAAACGTAGAAAATCGGACTATAATGATCAATAACACTTTCTCATGACATTTTGAGGATATCATGTTCTAATTTTACACAGGTGTTCATATTTCAATCTTACAAAAATGCTCTATTTCAACCCAATATCAAAAGAAAAAAATATGTATTTGGCATTAAGAAAACAGTATTTTAGAAATAAAGTTTTATTTGCAGTGTATTTTGATGATAATTAAGAACATTGACATTGATCTGGATGTCATCTGGAGTTTTTATGTAATGTTCAACTGTGATTCTTATTACTTTAATACAAAAAAAGAATTAATTTTTTTGGACATTACAATAATAAGACTTGATTTTAGGGTGAAATGTGAATGTGAAATCTGCATACTTTGTGGAAGGTTTTGTGAGATTCACCCTCACAGATTGTAATGCTAATTTACCCACCCATCAACAGTCTGTGAGGCCCCCGTGAAAATGAGAACAGGACACAAATAGGAGTAAGCGCTGAGACAGATGAAGCCAAATTATTTACTGCCACCTAGTGGAACTCATGAAATAGTGTTTAAATCTGTCTCAAAGTTTCTCACTGGCTGTCAGTTAACAACATCTGACATGACGGAAAGTATTATGGATCAGTGAGTGGCACAGATTTCAAACACTGTTACTTTGACTACATTTAATTTAAAGTTATTTAAGCAACAAAACACAGGAACACAGACTCAGCACAAAGCATGACAGGCAGGATTCAGTAAGACTAATATGCATGTCCAATAGGGTCTCAAAACTTAAGCGAGTTATGTGTATGTGTTAGGAAATCTGGGAAATCTGCTTTATTTGAAACTTACCCAACATCATCCATTATGCAGCCAGACCATTTATCTTCACACTTGCACTCCCCTGTGAGGGAAAGATGAAGATGGATTACAGTGACAAACTATGAGAGTCTGTTTGTGTGAGTACTCCTGCATTTACTGCCAAAGCACGTACAAAAAATATAAAAGTTGAACAGGAAACGAGAACACTCACCATTTAAAATGCGTTTCTTATCAGAAAATATGCCGATATTTTGTCCTAGTGACTGGGCGAGAGCTATGGCCATTTCTTCGGTCTTTCCATACTAACAAATTAGAGAAAAAAATCACCCAAACAAAAGCCTTTGAGACTGATAAACAGATACATTTTCATTAGTTAAAAGCATCTTTCATAACCATAACCACAAACCTCATTGACTCCGCCTCCTTTAGTGAGTGAGCAGACTCCGCCCATATATGAGGCTCCTCCCCAGTTGCTATGGAAACGGTTGCCTCTAAAAAGAAGAGAGAAAACTGATTAGAAATGCCACTTTACCTGATCATAAAACTAATGTCTGCTGTGTATTTTTTTATAACTCACGAGAAAAGGTGAACGGAGTCACACTTTTCTTTAATAAAGTCTCTTCGGTACTTCATAAACTCTCGTAATGTCACCATGGGATCGTCATTGATGTTAAATCTGTTGTCTGCAGCCCATGTTTCCATCGCAACCAAGACAATTCTAGTGTTGAGTTGCTCTTTGAAGTACTGCAGATACAAACAAAAATGATTTATTAACAAGAGGTGAACAAAGAATTATATCTTTTTCATGAAAATCTGAATCCCCAAGACACAGATGATGACTGCAGAATGATGGATGGTTTTCTTTTATTCTAGAGCTCAATTTGACATATTGAACAACAGAGTGACGCAGATAAATGCCAACTGTCTCTCACAGAGAGAGAGAGAAATGGAGGGATGTTTATGTGACTGCATGCACAAGGTCTATTTGTCTTGGGAAACCGATGAGGATCAGCCTTCTGTTTAATGGATATACAGTGTAAGAACAAAAAATATTAAAAGGATATATTATTAAAATGAATAATAGAAGACTATGAATTGCATACATTAGCAACTTACCAGATCAGCCATATTTACAACAGATTTGGCGTAGTTATTCGTTTGTCCAACGGAAAGGCGATGTTTCTTGTACTGGGAAAAATGAATGTGAATACATAGTAAAATGAATGCATTGCAGGCATTAAGAAATAAAACAATGATAAATTGGTTAATATGTTGGTTAATTAGGTCACTCATCTTACCATTAAATGATCATTTATGACCATCAGCTCTATATATTTGGTCTCATCTGAAACACTCCGTGGATTTCGCAATATCTGTGAGAAATTTGACAGTGCATCATTTTCATGTAGTTTATGACTCTGATTAGCTCTGAGAAGGTGACAACAAGAGATTGGAATCGTAATGATTCTGGATCCAATTCCAATTAAGGAATCTTGTTACTTTACGATTCCATAAACATTTCTTTTAGTTTTGAAGAAGAAATTAATATGCAAAGTGTGGAAAATAATTCTTAATGCATTCAAAACTATCAGCAGCCTGTTACGAAATAATTAGATGATTTAAGATCTAAACAGAACAGTAATAATTCAAAAATATTTTTTAATCCCAAAAACAATGTATCACACACTCAGAAGTTTTGTTCATTCTTGTGCATAGACTGACATGCACTGACATTGCGTTGTCATGACAACAGTAAAGTTTAAAAGTTGCACTGATGTGAATACTGCATATTTTATTTATATTTTGTTAAAGCCTTCAGGCAACATCAGTAGAAAAATGCAGATGTTCTAGAACAACAGAATCAAATTATTATTATATTATTATTTAATATTATATAGTATTATATAATTTATATAATATTATTCCAATATTATTTTAAAAAGCATTCTGAACTATTTGTGATTCCCAATCCTAGTGACAAACATGTTTCATATCATCACCCTGCAGCATGCAAAACATGCTTACTGCAGAGAAACAGCTGATCTATACATTAGTGCCATAAAGAGTCCACAGCCCTGCTGTAAATATTTGATGGGGAGGAAAACAAAGACACAGAAGAAACAGAAAGAGAGCAGCACTTACAACAGCACTGAAATCACATCAGATCACACACACACACACACACACACACACACAAACACAAACCATGAGCCATGTATGTTATAAGTATACACACCTGTCTCCTTTTCCTCCTGTGGGCGGCACTAGACAGTGGAGGGTTCTGGAACGGTGACTGTGCCAGGTGATCTTAAACAAATATTAACTATCAGTATGGACAGTTGAGCACAAAGTGCATGCACACAAAAATAACTCATTCTGCTTTATTAATTAGCCCCCATGGGCCCTTATATATAGTATACTCATGCTATATACATCATGCTTTATACCTGAACACGAGAATAGTTCATACCTGCAGAAATGAAGTCCTCTGGGGGGTCCAAACCAGGAGACTGATAAATCATGTGCACATGAACCTCCTCCTACAGGGAAAAATCAGAGGATACGATATGATTCATATGTGTAAATTCATATTCCGGGTTGCCGGAATTTTACCGTATAAAATACAGTAGCAACGTTTTAGGTTTTACGGGTTTAACTTAAATTTACAGTTAAATACCGTAATTTCATTAACTCATATAATGTTAATATACCAACCTATTGAAGTACTGAAATCTGTTTTGTACCTTTGTAATACACTGATAACCACCCAATGCAGGTGGTGATGAGAAAGTCACATGATGAACCAAAGCACATCACAAGCAGCCTTTAAATAATAACATATATAGAAGGTGCACAGTGTCATTCACACAGACACTAAACACCATTCATGCAATAAACATGAATTTAACAACATTAGGTGTAACACACAACCCTAATATACAAAACTGATAAGAAAAAACTAAGAAGAAACATAGTTATTTCAACAAAAAAACATCAAATTTGAAATGTAACACAGGGAATTCTGGGAATGTCAATTTACGGTTATTCACTGTAAATTATACACTCTTTTTCCCTTCCAAAAATGGTATACTACTGTAAAATTAATGTCCAATACATGTAATGTCCAGTACAGTTTTTCACCGTATATAGTAGGGGAATTTACCGTTAACCATTTAACAGGTTTTTACTGTAGCATTTTTACAGTCTTTTTTTACAGTGTATGTAACACTTAGAGAGTTTGATGAGACACACTGTTAAGTTTGTATAAGAAAGAGACAGACAGCACATATCATTAATAAAGCAAGTCACATTTTTATTTAGGCAATTTGTGTCAAAAAATTCTAAATGTACTAATTACAATATTTTGTAGGCCAAAACAAGTTTGTTACAGTAAGTTACTGTTTTGTTGTTTAAATTCATTTTCCTCAAAATATTTTTTAAATGTTTATACAGACTTTGACAAAAAATATGACTATCCTATTCACAAATGTGACATCAAGCTTATTGCGAGGAAATAGTTAAGACAGTTTAGAAAATAAGATGGAGAAGTGGAAAATGAATGTTTTGACTACCGTTTGTTGGAGTCTCTAAAATACAACTTGATTTGCTTGAGAGGAGGCTCCACAGACTGTCCTTAAAATTAGCAACAGAATTGTCTTTTAAAAGGCCACTGTATGATTCACACACTGTTAATTTTAATATTTATTCTGGTTTTGCGTTTATTCACGTTACACTCTAACGTTATAGTTTAATAGCTCGACGTCCCGCCGCACCCGCCTCAGTGAATTTGTGTGCGCTCCCGAAGAGTCCCCAAACACAAACACTACACGACGAAACCGGACAGAAGATCACTGATTGCGTGATAAAATTACTGTTATATCACCAAAAGAGTCATTTAAAGCACAGTTAATCAGGTATGTGTGCGATATATTGGTCCTGAGAGCATCACTCGGATGAAACTAAAACGCAACATGTTGTATCATAATGTTAGCCGTTATCTGAGATGATCTTGTTAGCGCTCGAATATACTCTTGAATTAATCAAAACTAACCATAAACCAAAAACAACACTTCTGAGCTCGTGAAAACACAACAAATGTAACTTTAAAATAAGTCGCTTCTGATAGACACAGCAAGAAAATCCTTACAGAGATGCGATTTTCTGACATCTATTGTTGTAATGACAGAGCGCACGTTACGCAGAGACATACATTTACTCTCCATGTAAACAGTACACATCATGCCTGTTGTACATATACACAGAGACGTTTATTGTAGTCTACGCTTAGAAACACACATTAACACTTAATACACACACACTCATACTTAATACGACACATATTTAAGCATTGCAATCATCACTGGATTTTGGCTCATCTTTACTGTATGTCTGTGATGGAGTGGGCATTACAACAAGACTTCCAGTACACTTTCTAAATTTACATACAATGGTATGAAAACTTTCACTTTGTAAGCAAACTTGCAAATTACCTGAAGACTGCAGAATAAAATGAGAAAAAAACATGACGCTTTTTTCTCTCGTCATTCTTCTCCTTGACTAAAAATGTAATTTCATGTCCCCTTTCCCCACAGGGTTCCAGTGTTTTCCTGCCTCCAGTCATGTCTTGTCGTGACGTTCATGCCACCAATGCTTTCGCCTTCATCATCGGGATGCTGTCAGTGGGCGGTCTGACCGTCGCCACGCTCATTCCCCAGTGGAGAACCACCCGCCTGCTCACCTACAACGCAATGCCAAAAACGTGACCATGTACGACGGCCTGTGGACCAAGTGTGTGCTGTGAGATGGTTCTTCGGGTTGCTATTACTTTGATGCAGACTGATATGCGAAAGTAGACCAGTTGGACCTGGACCTGCTGCAGTTCTGTTTACCTGCTGGTAGGTACTCATGATGGGTACAATGAACTCGTTCTTCAGTTTATAAGGCTGTATGAACTACTTTTTCCTCCCTAATTCCATGTTTTCCATTTTAATTCTGTTTTAATAGCTTAATTTTAAAGAGGCCATATGATGCTTGTTACTGTTTTCGTTTATGTATAAAATCTGCAAAGTTACCACAAAACCATAAAGGGATTTATTCTAGCAAACAGAGAACACTGCTCCAGACTTGCCTAAAATGCACTGATTGAAGTCTAGATGTTACTTCTGCAAACATCTACATCACAGTTTGAAATATTAGCATAATGCCTGCCCAAAGGCATATGCAAAGTAAGAAGGTCAGGTGAACTGTAGTCTCAGCCTCAGACGTCACGCCCACGGACCGTTGGCTGAATGCCTGATACATACAGCACACAAAACTGGAAACACTTAAAGGTCCCCTGAAATGCTTAGAAACACACAGCGTTACTCTGTGTTGACGTCACTTTAACTGAAACAGGAAGACAGGGCGGGACATATCAAGCAGCCCCGCCCCTTTTTAAAATAGCCAATAGCGTTTGTTTATATCACAGCTTGGGCTAGAGCTGTTGAGCTCCGTAAAGCCGCATTTGACAGGGTATGCCAGCCACAATCTCATCCATATTGCTATAAAATATAGCATTCTGTGTAGAATTCAAATAGCTCTGATACATTTTGTGGTCTGTGTGATCCGCTCCGTGCTATCGTGTCTCTGGACCGGAGCAGAGTGTGTGTGCTAGCGTGTTTTTAGGGTGGTTAGCGTGACACAGCGCGAAACCAGACTTCTTTTTTTCCTCAATGAAAAGCATATTTACACTGTTTGAATTGTTCCCTGTCCCCTATATAGTGCACTACGTGCCATCCACTGTACAGAAAATACTAATTCTGTGGACAAGTGACCGATCTCAGCCCCGCGGCTTCAGCGTCTATTTTATAGTGTAGGGGGCAGGCGCTTCGGATTCATTTGATTGGACAGAAAGTTTGATGAGAAGCTGAAGTATGATGTGACGTCAAAAAAATTGTTGAGCCGTTTTGGCAGAAGTGACGAACTGAAAGCTTTGAATGCTTATATCTTCTAAATGTGAATTTTGTCACTGTTTTGGAGCACACTGCCTTATAGATAACCTTAAGACTAACATATTGATACTAACACCCAAAAAACTTTTAATTTTGATTTCATGGGGACTTTAAGGAGTTTCGAAGTCGTCATTGGATTGGTTGAATTATACAGGATTTCTGGGAGATGTGTGTGTCGCATTTTTTAACGTTGCGCCTGGAAACAAAGATGCAGTGCTCTCTTAATGCCCTCTTGGGCGGGCCTTGGCCATTCAAAGTGGCCAAGGTTCCCAGGCCTTCTGCCGTCACTCTGAAGGTCTGGCTACGCGAGACTAGGAGAACTGTAGTGCTATGTTGTGGAGATGCTGTGTGTTTCAATGCGAAAGCAAAAGTCCTTTGTTTGGCCTTCTGAAAACGGATTAAATTAGGAATCAGATTTACCAGTTTAATAATAAAAAAAAAAAAAATCAAATCAAATGAAATGTGAACAATTCCTTTCATTTTTTGGCAAACAGTGCTGCACAACAGGGGTTTAATGTTTAAAACAAGGATGACAAATTGTGATATTCCTTAAAAAACTGTCATATTATTATTGTTACTAAGTATATTCTACTTTACAATAGTAATATATTTCTGTCATAATTTCTTCAGGTTTCAAACCAAACGGATTGTAGTTAAGACCTTTGGGTTTCTGCGTCTATATGACAAAGTTTTGTCAAATGTAATGATAAAACTTGTGATGTGACTCTTAGAGCAGCTCTGGAGATGAAGTTCATATGTAGTGTCCTATATATAGTGAGACAGCAGTTGCTGAAAACACAAGCTGTGTCGCTCATTTAGTCATTTATCTACTTCATATTAAATAGCAGTTTTTTTGCGGTTTATATTCACTGACACTAATCTATATCGCTGTTTGATTAAATGAGCAGCTCTACTTTTGATTTATTCATCCAATTTGTACCAAATTCCAGGACATTAGCGTTGTACACTAAATAAAAAAATTTTTTGACTGGTTTTAGTGATTCCGTCCTAATTTTTTGCATCACGGAAATCATAGGGTTTATTCTGTTGACATCAGCCTCTTTTCTCCACAGGTCTGCTGTTTTCCAGCTTGGCTCTTCTGCTCTGTCTCACTGGCATGTGTAAAACTGCTTGCTGCTCCAAAACTCCTGATGACATCAAGAACTCCCACTGCTTGGTCAACAGCTCAGGCTGCCATCTACTTGTTGGGATGCTTCTGTTTCTAGGCGGGGCTATTGCCATGCTGCCCTCTGTCTGGTTTCTGTTCCACACGCGTAACCTTAACGAGCGCTACGATAATCTGTTTGCTGTTGAGTTTGGGGTGTATGTGGCCATCAGCAGTGCTGGTGGTCTGATCTTAGCCGCTCTGCTGATGTTCATGTGGTATTGCATGTGTAAAAAACTGCCTTCACCCTTCTGGCTACCTCTACCTGAAGGACCTGCAATGACCAACAGCCTCTCCGTGCAGCCCCTCATGACCAACGGCTTGCCTTCTCCCATGACATACGCACCCCAGAGCTTCCTTCCGGCTGTTCTGGATGCCCCCACTT